ACCATTAGCTGAATGTACTATCAATAAAATCCTGGGTCGCAAGTACTCACCTTAATATTTAAAAAAAAAAAAAAAAATACATTATATAAGTTTAATTAGATTAATAGTATACAAAAACTTGCAAAATCAAACAAAAAATTAGTAAGATTGTAAAAAGAGATACTAGAATTATATAAACTTGACAAGAATTAGAAACTAAATAATTATAAAATAAAATATAGAAGGCTTTAATAATAATATCTTAAAGATAAACTGTATAAACAAAATAACTATCTTATAATTATGAATAAATATTTAAAACTTTTAACTAATATATATTAGAAATATTTTAGTAATATATTAAAATTATAATATAAAAAATTTAAATAAGTAATATTTATAATGTCATGATCTAAAAAGGGATCATCAATATTTCATTTAAATTAGATCACATAATCAAATACTAATTTACAGTAATTATTAGATATAGCACATATACAGAGCATAATTAGTAGATGTAGCATAATTAGCATAATTAGTAGATTTAGCATAATTAGTGTAATTAATAGATATAGCAAATATAGTGTAATTAGTGTAATTAGTATAGATAGCGTAATTAGTGTAATTAGCATAAATAGCGTAATTAGTGTAATTAGTGTATAGAGAAAAGTATATAAGTAATGTGCTTGTAATGTAATAAAAGAGGTCTCACAGTATATCTAATAAAGAAATACTTACCCTTAATACTCACCCAAATCTAATGCCTCTTTTGAGTACTAATTTATCTGACATTACACAAGAAACGTTCGTCTACCCTATGAATAGGGAATTTTAGAGTCTACAATTTCCGTAGTATGACAATAATTAGATTGTAAGTATAGCAACTAAAATAGAACTAATATAAATAAATTACTTAAATTAGATACCAAAAGTATATATGTAATTAGTTGTATTTTCAAATGCAAGATGACTTTTTTGAAACTTTGAACTATAAACTTTTGTGTTATATAAACAAATAAAAATTTTAGTCTCAAAAAGGCTAGTTCATGCTTAAAAAAAACTTTTAAAAAATTAGTATTTTACTTTATTAAAAAAACAATTTTTAAAAACTTAATAAGATAATTTATTAAAAGATTCTAATTTTTAAAATTAAGTAAAATAAAGATTTAAATTAGCAAAAAAAAAAATAAAACCAATCAAAAAATTAAAAATATACATATTATTATATTTTTTAAAAAAATATATAAATAAAAATACCCAAATAAAAATATTATTTAAATGCTTAAATAAAAATTTATTTGTGTTCAGAGTTTTAATACAATAAAGACTGAATTTATAAAAAAGTTTATACCAAATACTCTGTAAAGAAAAAGAAAAAAAGTTAAAAAAATCTTATAAGTATTATAAAATAACTAAAAAAATAAAAGAACTATTGATCAACTTTATATGAATATCTTTTAGAAAATATTAAAATAATAACAAATAAATTAAAGAAACTCTTGAGATTATGCAATTTAAACTTACTAAAATAGTTAATTCTAATTTTAAACTATATCTAATTATATATAAATATTTAAAAAATTAAATATTAAATATATAAATTAATATTTTAGATACCTGATTATATAAAAAAATATATAATATAACTAACTTCTTTTTGCAAAAATCCTATAAACTTCGTTTTAGTTGACTAATCCTTATAAGTCATATGTTGTGTTTTAGATTAACCTTAGATGTCAAATTTTTAGCTAGCATTAACTAATTAATATTAATTAATCTAAGACATGACAATTATATTAAATAACTTAAAATATGGTAACCAGAAATCTTAAATTGGAAGAAAAAGATATCAAGTCAGACTCAATATATTAGGGCAGGTCAATTTGTGCAATGCATAATGCTTATGTGATATGAATCAAATTATGTACTGTTACGGGTAATATGGGCGAGTTCAGAGATGGGGTAAATGCGACGGATTGTCGCTTGAAAAATGGTTATGCCGCGTAACGTTCCTCAAGGATAATAGAGGCGGTTTTTCGATTTGGCACAAGGTCAAGGCGATCGAAGAGGAGCGTTACAAGATGAGTATTGCGATTTTAAAGGAGCGTTTATTTATTTTACAAGTTAAAAGGGCTTTATTAACTTTATTAATATTTTGTAGGGGCAGTACAATTATATTATTATGGGCTTGAATTCTGAACTACTCTGAACTATTGTACGATTCTGAACTGTCTTTTTGGGAGGGGGAAATTCCACCCCTTTTTATAAGGAATTGAACGAGAGAAGAGCCCGCGCAAGACCACGAGTTTCCTCATTATTACCAACAGTTTCCAACCTTATTTGTTATAACCTTTAACCCCTTCCACACAGCCTTTCGTTACTTTAACATTTCTCACGGCTTTCATAGAACCGATGAGAAATGTTTCAGTTTCATGATCCCGGGGCCAGAACCCATCGTATTGTCTTCAATCGCACCCCCCTTGACATCGCCTCACACTTAACCCAAGTAAAGCAGGTGAAGTCAACGTCCATTCCCAGCGCAACAGGTTGTCCAGGTCGACCTTACTTTAATTGGAGGGGGTGGTGGAGTCCCGCATGGAGGCTTGTGTACTTTCATGTGGCTTCTTTTGGGGCCGGGCGCACATGTTTCAGATGGCAACTCTAATTAGGTAAGTATGCCACAATGACGTCCATTTCGCAAGGTTCCATGAGGTGTCGGTTTTACCTCTGACAGTACATACGTATTATGTAGCATCATAATCATGAACACTATAAAGTTTATAAATGGTTTACTCTAACCTAGAGTAGATACAAACTTTGATAAGCTAGTAGGTGTCCATAGATTTACTCTAATTTTCACTAAAAATATGTGAAATTTGACAAGCGTTAGAATTAAATTTAGTAATGGAGAAGAATCACATAGCATATGGCCAATCAAATTATGAATTTTGATGATCACCGGCGAAGACCTAAAAAACACGAAAAACGGCAATCTAAACCTACCTCGGAAAGGTTAATTAAAAATGTCGGGAAGGCCATTTACTAATACATAACTATCTGAACCCTGACTTAACTCTAATGTAAGATGGCCCTAACTCTAAAGTTAACTCAATAAATATATTATGAGTAATCTACTCCGTCCCTCCTTTTTTAGGTTTGTAAATGTGTGCGTTCACCCTGTTAGGCCGATGTCAATAAATCTAGGCCAATGATCGACAAACCCGATACAGGATTTTTCATGCATTATCATATGGACTATACTTGCCGCCAAATCCAAAATTATTATCATTTGCACGCCCAAATCCTAAATTATTATAATTTGCCACGCCCAAATCCTAAATCCCAAACTCGGGATAAATTAATCTCTATTAATAATCTTTATTTAAACAAATTAAATATCTCAACCCCATTTTTTCATTTAATTTTTTATAAATGGCGATTTTTTTTTTTGGGTTTAAGATTTGTACTGATTTGGGCGGCAAGTGTACGTATTATGGCAGAAGTCTTCAACTGTAATTAGTTAAATTGAATGATGAGATTAAATGGAATTTGAACCAATAATATACATAATACAGTGTGATTATTAGGAGTGATTTTAAAATTGCTTATAAATTGTACTTAACAGTTTTTATGAGTAGTGCACCAAACAGATTAGCTAAATAACCCAGAACGACCCCAAAATTATCAGTTTTTCCGAGTAGTGTTCTGAACAGATTACCCAAAATGACCTATCACTTGTTATGTTACCTAATTTATATGGTTACAGCATTCTACTACGTAAATATTTCGTCCATATGCACCACTAAACAGTAGTCATGGGGTGAAAGTCACTGATAGATGATGGTTATAACCGCCAGTGACCGGTTGTAGCTGTCATCTCCGATTATAATCAGTTAGCTACAGTTATAACCTTAGGTTTACGATAACGTAAACAATTTAACTTGGTATATCATATAATTTTGAAATACTTATGCGTATTAAATTTTATTTCTGAGTATACACATTTTGATTTATTAAAAAAATTTTTAAACAGATTTATAATTTTTACACAAAAATTTGATATAAATATTAAACAATAATAAATAATAAGAAAGTGAGAGCTAGATACACAGAGAGCACCCCCTCTAGAAGGCACGTTTATATTATAGTCATCAAATAAATAAATTTTTAGTTTAACTAGTAAAATCAAGACAATTATTACCAAATATGGTATTTTTTAGAAATTAGGAGACGATTCTTTTGGTAATATTATAGTAAGATTGTAGAAATAATAAAAATATGAATAATTAAAAATAACAAATTTAAACTGTTCTTATTTACACCAGATTTTTTACTAAAATTTCCATTATCATTTCCTTTATTATTTCCATTTACAGGACCGTTTCCGGGTGTCTAGTAAATATGATAAAAATTAATAATCATTTATTTTAAATAATAATCTTCAAAAAAAAATTCAATTATAAAGATTAACATACCTCAGTTCCGGATAAGGTTGAAGCGAAACCAATTTGTAAATTATCATAATCAAAAGCAGCAATAACATTTGTTAAAAATGGATGACCAAGTGTCCAAGAAGTAATATTGGTTCTAGGTTGTTGTTGTATACCCGATCTACATAGTCCAGTGGTAGAATTTCTTCTTTTCACAAATTCAAGAGGATTAATTTCATAAGGTATACCATTTAATACTATGGATATTACCGATTTAGTGTCACAAGGAATCCACCATATATTATTAGAAAAACTTGAACCACTAAGTTTTCCATGAAGGGCGATAACTTGACTAGATGGACCATAAATAAGAGCGGCACCTATTTTGAAAAAAAAGTAAAAAAAAATATTCACAAAATTGATTATAGTAAGATAAAGTTAAAAATATTCCAAAATTGATTATACAAAATATGAAGAATAAAAATTCTAACCAGTATCAACTAAAGTAATTGCCTTAATTCCAAGAGAATTTCCATCGAGAAGAATATCACTCATTGAAATTGTCCATCTATTATTTTCTACCACTTTATTATATGAAATGCTATTCGCGTATTCATTAGGAATGTCACCAAAAGTTACATAACTTGCATCATTGGCGTTTACTTTAGTTGCACCAAGATGAATTCCCACCAAAGCTTTATTTATTACTTTTTGCGCTTTCATTGTTTGTATTACGCCGGTAGCATTGAATCGACGACTCGGAGAAAATTTAATACCCATAACACCACCACCTCTAAAGCCATTAGAATTAAATGTCGTTACCACACCAAAAGGTTGTTGTGTGATAGAAAGACCACCAATCGTGACAGTTTCAGTAGCTTTAAAACCATTGATCGCAGAACCATCATCATAACTAAGAGTAAAATTATTTGGAACGGGAAGTGGTTTATAAGTAGTAGATTTTGCAGGATCATAACGACTACCATTTGTGCAAGCAGAGCTGGAACAATACACACTTGGGACCCAAAGGTCAGAAGAACCAGTATCGATCAGTAAAGAAATATTTTGACCACCAATAATCATTGAAGAAGTATAACGTAAATCTTCATAATTATTTATATATTCTTTTCCTTGAGGATCACGTTTTAATAATGATAATAAACCAGGATCTATTTCTGATGTATGGACTCTTCTTAGATGGATTTTTACGAATCCTGGATTAGAGGCAGGAATAGCATTTACAAACACGTAAAGTGGTAATATTATGAATACAAATAATGTAATGAATTGAGAAGTTTTTACAATCATGATGAAAAATATTAAAAAAAAAAAGAATTAAATATTCTCCAAAGTAAAAAAGAAAACAAGCAACGCTCAATTTATAAAAAAAATTTTTTTTTTAGTTACATTTGATCGCTCTAATAATGTTCTGGATTTAGTATTCTTTAAGTGAAACGTATATTAAACTTCTACGAATTTCTTCTTGAATAAGTAAATATAGTTGATAAACGGATTTTGTAGGAATTACGCTCCGAGAAATTAAGAAATACAGCATATTTATTTTTCTTGAAAAAGAAGTAAAGTAAAAATTAATAATTTATAAAAGATTCGTACTTATTAATTGGTTGTATATTACGAATATTAAATTCATTTAGCCTATTTTAGGAAGACCATTTGCGTAATAATAAACTTTAGTACGGATGAATTTCTTTAATTTAAACGCAGTAATGCGTAATTATTTTTGGAATATGTGATTCAAAACAAAAAAGCAAATTTGACAACATAAGTAAAATTGCTTAAATATTCAATGAAATAAGATAGAAAATGGAAAATCCATTAAAATTTCTCAGGTTATGTGAATTAGTCATTGATTTGATTTTAAGTTCAATATCGTTTGATTTTTTTTATAAATAGTTATCATTCTCTTTTCTTGAAAGTTTAGGTGGTACTATTCGACAATTCTTTTTTTATGTGCATCTTTTCATAAGTATGTGCACAACATACCTTATTATATGATGCAGCAATGTACGACATTTCTTATTTTGGCATTACATCATTACAAAAAATACTCCACACAAAACATTATGCAAATTATTTCAGTATTAAGCCAAGATTCGCTTATTTACGCAAAAAAGGAACTATGATAGCGGAAATGTGAATAATAAATATGTGAAGTTAGAGATTTATAGTTAGTGGTTAGCGTAGACGATAGCTAAAGAGAGAGCAATTTACGTATGCCAATACCCATTTTAGATACTTTTAGTCAATTAATGCATTCGTTTTCTTTATTTTGTGACGTCAGATTTATCTGAAATAATACCATTCTTTCATTATATGCTCAAATAAGAATACGCGCATGTCTATGGCGTTGTATGGCGTTGTATGGCGTTGTGTAGCGTTTATCAGGAAAAAGATTAAAAGTGGACCTTAAAAAAAGGATGAACTATCAAATTGAAATGTTAAATATTGTAATCACATGTCTAAAGTTAACAAAATTGCACAAGATTTCTTCACTACGATTGATTGAGAATACAATGTATATATGCGCATTAAGGGGTTTCAAAGTTAACCTAATCTTGACGAAGTAAATCACGTATTTATTTTCAAATGAGCGACATATCAACTTTATTTCATTTTCAGATCAATTAGGGGGTTTCAGAATTAACTTATTTCGAAAATAAATGAGAGCTTATTTCTAATTTGAAATTCTGAAATAAGAAAATAAAATAGGTGTATCCAGAAATAAAATCAGTAAACCCCGTTTGTTGATGTATTATCATCATATGATATTATAAAGAATTATAAAATTTTCGCTTAAATTTTTTTTTTAAGTCATCATCTTATATTTATTTTCAAATCATTAACAATTTAATAAATATACCTCCAAAAAGAACTTTTAAACAAACTACTGAATATCAATGGTAATGTTTATAGAAAATCCAGAAAATCCAAAATGTTATTGATGGAAAGCAGTAATTGGTATACCCATAAGTGTTAAGCCTGTAGCAAAAAATGCAGGCTTTGCACAAATGACTTTATTTGTAAATAAACGCTACAAGGATGGGCTGCCGGCCAAAAATATGGGTCGTATTATTTCAAAAATTCCTTATATATCTAACATTAACAATTGTGTCCTATAAATAGAATTTCATTCTGAAAACGTTTACTTAGAGGTCCGAAGTTAGTTGTCATAGTAAATTTTTGTGTTATTTACGTTTTTTTTTTTTTTACAATTTCTTATGTTACGCGAGATCCTGTGATTTGTTGGATCCGAAAAGGGGTCGGAGTGATCTTCAGCCCGGGATTTTCGGGTACCCTAAAATTGCAAGTGATCGATGGGTAACATATAAGAAACCATATTGAAAAATCGGGTTGGAGTCTAACTAAACAAGATCAACTAATGGTATTAGTACCATTGATACAAAATTAGAATAGTTATGTCTATATTATAGCAGAATTGATGCAATATATGGTAATAACCAAAATGTTCAACCTACTTTCCTTGAAAATTTCGGCTTAGATAATGAAGGTTATAACAATAATGAGGATTATAATAATAATGAAACATTAGATAATAAATTTAATAATAGTCTTAAATTTATAAAAATTTTAGAATTATTAAAAGCACTAATATTAATATAATTATAATTTTTGTAGAATTTAGTCAAGATCAAAATCTAAATGAAAGCGAAACAGAGAATAGTGTAAATGATATACAAAATAAAAAAAAACATTATCATCATTTATATTGAACGAATTTAATTTAGATATCTATTCTAAAAAGGGTATTTATTAAAGAAAATTTTTATTATTATATAATTTTTAAGTATAGTGTATATAATTAATAAATTATATTAATATTTAAAAGAGAGTAATATTTATAATTTAAATGATCTTAATAATATTAATATTGAAGATAATTTACATAGTGATAACATTAATAATTTATTTTATTTATTTATTTAAATTATTAAATTTTGATTTAAAATTTTGTATAATAATTTTATTATTTTTATATATAGAATTAGATGAATCTGCTTCAAGTATTAATAATAACAAGCATACGTTAGAGTCAAGTAATATTTCTAAAAATATGAGTAGTAATAATTTATCAAAGCATTAATGTTTATTACAAAATATTAAGAATAAATTATAATAAAGTCTTAGCAAAGAATATTTATTTTTTAATGTAAAATTATAAAGCCTTCAGGTTGAACAAAAACGAATTGAAGTTGAAAAGAATCACAAATAAAAAATATAGAACCAAACAAAATTATATTAAAAAAAAGCTTCAATGAAAAAAAGAATACAAAAAATAAAAAATAGTAACAAAATTGCATTACTGTAGAACTTATATATCAAAACAAATCTTTTTAGAAATTAAAAAAATATTAGATAGAGGTGTGGCGACCTAGTGAAGTGGTCAGGTTGTCAACCTCCCAAGTGGTAGGTTGGGTGTTCAAATCTCATCGACGATGAAAATTTGGATAATCACCTATGTAATATTCGTATTATGGCAACTGTTACTAACGATTGGGTTAGGATACCTGT